TAAAAGTACACTAAAACTAGGGACGCCTGGGTGGCTCAGTCGGTTGAGCGTCCAACTCTTGGTTTTGGCCCCGGGCATGAGCTCAGGGTCATGAGATAGAGCCCTGCATAGGGTGCAAAGCCTGCGTGGGATTCTTGTCCCGTCCCACAACCCCCGTTTCATGCACGAGTGCTCTCTCTCTCAAAAACAGTACACTAAAACTCTAAAGAATGTTAGAACATGTGTGGTTTAGCTTTCATTCCTGTTTTTTTTTTTAATCTTTGTTAAAGACTCTTAAAATATTGACTGCCTTTAATGGGAGATGCCATTTTTAAATTCCAGGCAGCAAGTTTAATGCAGAATCCTCAAGTTCAGCAGCTGTAAGTATATTTTCCCCTCCCATCTGCCAGGCTCCTAATTTGAGCACATCGGCTCCACATGATAAGTGGTAAATGGTAGATGAATGCCAGCCAATTAGAACTTAGAGCCATTCACATTTGGCCTTCCTACACAGCGCGGGTATATTTAACTGACTTCTCCTTAGCCAGTGTCCTACTTGTTAGGAATATATGCCCATCTCAGTGATGTATTTCTTGCCTATTCTAGAATGTCAGGAATGATGACAAATGCTATTGGGGGACCTGCTGCTGGAGTTGGGGGACTAACTGACCTGTCTAGCCTCATCCAAGCGTAAGTGTTATTTAAGATAGAAATAGTAAAAAAGTTTATGTTTTACAGTTTGTCTCTGAAGTGACCAGGGCTTTCTTTTAAAAATTTTTTCTTTGACTGTTAGTATCAGTGGCCTCATTAGTTACTGAATCTAAAGAAATTCATAACATGGAATTTTCAGACTGAAGGGCAGGAATTCAGAAGATCTGTACCCATGAAAAAGTTTTTTGGCAGATTTGAATAGCTACTCAAGGATGTAGATGAAAGTCAAATATATGCTTAAAGTATGTATTAATTTAGGTAGACTCATATATTTAAAAATCATGTATTCCATATATTAATGTCCCTACAATTTAGGAAACTATTTTATTTGAACTTTTTCAGTGCATGTCATCACCAAAGGAACTCCTTGATCTTCTCATTACTTGAGCACACTACCTTCACTTCTACCCAAGTTGCTTAAGATACTCTGCTTTTTGAATTGACTTTTGAATCTGTGTGTCATGTTGCCATTGGAAATTTTATATGAAGACACAAGGACCGTTTGCTTTTTGTGATCGCAACCATGTAACCCCACTTACAAGATTGCATTTTTACAGTGATCTTTACATGGCATGATTATAGTGATATGTAACACTTGCAGTTGAAGACTACACACGGAGGAATTTGTATTAAGATTCTTTGCCTTTGTAAAAATCAGTTATGTCAGGTGACATATAGGTGATGAGAATGGGTGTGGCACCTATCATACCTGATGACAAGAAAAATTCCTTGCATTGTATTTGAGCACCTACAGCGAAAGCATGTACTATTCAGCCCTTTGTTTATTTGTGGTTAAGCCCTAGAGGGGGTGGATTTCACCCTGATTTCAGGAAGTCACTTTTTAGCGTGGTTGTTTTGTTTCTTATGAAGAATACTGCACTGTAGTAATGCTATATGGAGGTTATTTGTAACTGGAAGATACTAAAATCCGGAGTCTAAGATCTGTTTTTGTAGAAAAATTTCCCTTTGAGTAATACCCACATCCTCTGCAGTTCTCTTTGCATGGGTATGATATGACTACAAGTTCCCTAATTCATACCACTTTGCCTCTTTACTATAGGGGACAGCAGTTTGCTCAGCAGATACAGCAACAGAATCCTGAACTTATAGAGCAACTTAGAAATCACATCCGGAGCAGATCATTCAGCAGCAGTACTGAAGAACATTCGTGACTTGACCAGGGACCCTGGCCCAGAGCACAAATGATTATGGCTCTTGAGTGTTTGCTGTAGATAGTGGCCAAAACAAAGACACCTAAAGAATCAATCTGTCTAGATGATAGGTTTATCATAAAGACTTGAACATAACATGACTCCTTTGTAAACAAATGATCAGTAGCCCTGTGGAGTGCCAGTGTAGTACTGGACAGGGTTCCATTTTCAAATCTTCATCATCATATTTGTATATTAGACCTAATAGCAGAGTATATTTATTGAACAGTAAGGCTGTTTATTGGTGAGCTCTCCAGCTCCAGATTCCCTTAAGCAAACTTCTTTGAAAGATGGAGATGATGAAGAGGAAAGGTTTCTCATGCTGGTTTAGGAGAAATATCCTGGCCACTGAACAGCGTGTCTGGAGAGAAGAAATTTATTGTCTAGATTTCATTTGGAAAGTGCTCTCAGGACTGAATATAGATCACAGGGCCAGTACTATCTTTAATGCTGCTTGTTCTGATGGGTAACAGGGAATACTGAGAGCTGGTGGAAAGCAGAATTTGGTGCAGGGGTTGTTTTTTGAAAAGGAAAATAGATGCTGTGAATGTACAGAGAGTGAAGGTAGGATGTTCAGGTTTTCTGCATAGTTCTTAATTCATCTTGCCTGCAGTTTGGTCTTGATAACATTAGCATGGCCAATTACTCTAAGAACATAATAAAATACATTTAGAAATCCTTAATGGTTGTTTAGGTCCTTTGTATAACTATTCAATTTAATGTACACAATTTCTCCAGTGGTGACCTTACCATGGAAACTCTCAAATATATTTACATTTAAATAAGCCAGTGGTTTGACCCTCAAGTTAAGGATTTTCTAAGTGGCATTTAATTATGTGCATATAAATACTGATTTTTTAAAAACTCACTAATTATTTGATGGATTACGAAAAGCTTCTATCACTAACATTGCTTGTTCATGTAGACCTTTGCTGTAATTTGGCTTGGCATGTTGCTTTTATGCTTAATCTTAATTTGATGCAATGTAAACATAACGGGACTTAAAATATTTCACTGAAATCAGAACTCATAGTAGTTAATGAAGAAATGTGGCATTAAGTATTAATGGCATGGCTTTAACTACAGTGATGGAAAGACCATTCTAACTGGAATTTCTTTTGTTAATTACAGAATTGGTAAAGTTGGGTGAACGCACAATTTCACAAGTGTTGTGAGAGACAACTGAAAAAGTAATACAAAATTAAGTTAGTAATACTCATGATGAGGGCTTTACTATAACTATTGTCCTCAGAAGACCTGGTATGTGTAAGTTTAAAAACCAACTTTTCCTTTCTTTCCCTTCTGAGATTAGAACAGTGGTTCTGTAATTTCACTGTAAGAATTCATTAAAAATGCAGTTTTAATGGGTCCTGGAGTAAGGCCTGGGAATCACCATTTTAAATAGCATACCAGGTGGTTCTGATGTAGGTCCAAGGACTCTAATTTAGAGGAACAGTTAAGTTAACAGTTTTAACAGTTAAGTTCTTAGACTTCTCCTCAGAACAGCAAATACATGACTGCCTGTGTTCACGCTACAAGGAAGACCCATATAAATCTATAGTTCTGGCCAGAGAAGAGCAGGACTTAAAATTTTAGGCCCTCTGAATGAAATCTCCTATATTCTATCTAAGCCAACTTAATTTTTTATAAAGTTAAATTCAGGTTCTAGTGTTCAAGTGTTACACAGAATGAGGTACTAACTATTCACATGAAAGGTAGGACTGTTCTGGAAAAAAAAAAGTAAAAGGTGATCCACAATTAAAAAATTAGCTACTCTTGGGGCACCTGTCTGGCTCAGTAGGTAGAGCATGTGACTCTTGATCTCAGGGTCATGAGTTCATGAGTTCAGGCTCCACGCTGGGCATAGAGCTTGCTTAATTAAAAAAAAAAAAAAAAAGCTACTCTTATCCAGTGGTAAGAAAAAGTTTCTAGCAGACCTATCTCGAGTGCATTAAAATGCTTTTAGATCAATAAAATTGGTAAGCCTCTAGGTGACTGACTAGGAAAATAAAGAAAATACAAATCAACAGTACCAGACGTGAAAGGGGTATCACCACAGCCTTCCGGACTTTAAAGGGATAATCAGAAAATATAATGACCAACTCTAGGTCCATATATTGCACAACTTACATGAAACAGATTAATTCCCTGTAAGATAAAAATTACCAAAGCTCAGTGAAGAAACAGATATCCTCCAGAAGAGCAAGCTACGGGCCCAGATGATTTCAATGGTAAATTCTACCAAACATTGACAGGAGAAATAATATCAATTCTACACTATGTCTTTCAGAAAACAGAAGAAGAGGAAACACTTTCCAACTCATTTTATTTAGTTATTTACTCTGATAACAAAGTCAGACGAAGGCATTATAAGAAAAAACACTTTAAAACAATGTCTTGATTTGCTAATATCTATAGTTGGGGTAAGCCATTCTTTTTACATGAAGAGCTGGTATATTCCTTCCATTTCAACTTTCTAGTTTGTTTCTTGGTTGATATACCACCTATAACAAATTCAATCTACGTATGCCTTCATCACTTTGGAATCACTGCAAATTATTTCAAGGAAGTTTTGTGCAGTTGGATTGTGCTAGCTACTCTTAAAATTTAAGGGATGCCCCAACTACTATGCTGGCTTGTCCTGAACAAGAGGACATGAAAGTAAATCTTTATATACATTCTACTTAGGAATGATTGGCTTCTGTTAACCACACTTCATTGTAATAGCTGTGGCTGTCATGATGCTATGGAAAACTTAAAAAGTCCCTTTTATGCAAATGACATTTTCATTTAATGTGCCAAACTGTTTATCTAATTTTTATAATATGGCTTAAACAGATCCTAAGATGACATTATCTAACCTTTACTTAAAGAATGGGCAATATGTATCATAAAAAGAGACTCTAATTAAATCAAATTATATAGCAGATTCCAAGTGACCATTATGTTACTTTTAAAATCTGGACCAATGAAACAGAAGGTTCAGGCATGAGAAGATGCTTAAAAAAACAATCGAAATACACAGTGCAGTGGATATAAAGTCTTATCATTCAATCATCCTTACTCATTCTGGAAGAAACACAGACTTCAGCTTTATACTGCTTGCACTTTATTTTGCACAGATATTTCATTAGTGCAACTTAAGGGGCAAATCTCGTTTTGAATATAGCTTTACTCTGGACCAAATAATTTGTCATGGCAATAAATAATTATGCATTTAAGAAAAACCAATTTTTATATTTGACTTAATGCACTCTAACATTTAAGCAATTATATTTACATCCTTGAATTTCAACTTACCAAAATAAGCTTTTATTTAACAGCATAAGCTTTTGGTTTCCTTACAAAATATTGAAACTTATATATTATATATTCATGTTGCAAACTTGTTTACAATCTTAACTTTCTTACTCTTTTGTTCCTGGAATAAGTAAATCACTGTGATTACATACAGAGACAGTCTTATAGTATTAATACATGACGTAGAGTTCAAAATCAAATAGCAGAGGTGGAAATCCTTTAAACATGCCTTATGAAAGTAAGGGGCTTATTTTTCAATGTGGAAAAAAAAAACAAACCAGGACTTTTTGGCTTAGAATTAGAAAATTATCAGGATTCTTAGTTAAAAGTTAACAGTAATCAACAATCCAAGAAATTAAACCAATTCTGATCTGCTGTTAGTAACTGAAATTTAGACCATGTGGGTTAATATGTAACTACAAACATAGGTACATACAAACAGAATAACTGAAAACTGAGGAGAACTCATACTGTGTTAGCAATATAAGGTTACATGAGCCCTACTCCCTTTGTCTTAAGCTTTTTCTGCTGACTGAGGAGTTAGGAAAAAAACTGGGGTTAATTGGAAACTTAAATAAAGTATAAGAGTCGAAAGTTTTAAACAACTGTATCTTTTAGACCAAGGTCAGCAAATGATGGCCTACAGGCCAAATCTGGCCAGTTGCCTGTTTCTGTAAATACTGCCTGCTCTTTTTGCCTCCTGGCTGCTGACCCACTATGACAGCAGAGTTGAGTATTTTCAACAGAAACCACATTTCCTGCAAAGACAAATATTTAGTATCTGGCCCTTTACATAAAATGTTTGCTAACCCCCCATTCCAGATACTTGCTAGGGACAAACAGCCTCAAATACAGAGCTTTTGGAGAACAAAGTCCAATGGTTATCTAAAAATGGAATAGGCTGAGTGTAGAAAATGTACAAATGTCCATTCAGAATGTAACTCACGAGATAAAATCTGTAGATGGTTCTTTTCAACACAAGTATTTAATATTTTAACTTTGGCAGAAAAGAAATTTAAATAACAGGTACTTATTTTTGTTGTAGACTTGATTTCACAAAGGTGACAAAAATACAAAAAGTTCTGTGAAATTCAATGAAAAGCATAACATTGGAAATCTTCTTCAGCTCTCCACTTTAATGGCCGAAGATACCACACAGACCTGTGCGATGTCATCATATTCATATGTTCTCTTTAAGAACGTGTCTGTTAGTCTTAAGCCGGAGACACTCTATTGAGAGAAAGACAGAGGCATGAATTTTCATTCATTGGTAATTACCAGAGAAAATGTAGAAAGAGTCAATGCCCATGGGTTAATAGTCCCCAGATACCGAAATGACTGAAAAGAGCGCGCACCTGCAGTCCCTGTACTGAGGACAGCAGAGTGAGGGCAAGGCAGAGGGAGGAACTAGGATGCAGCTTCCCAAGCTGTCTTCCTGAAATGCCGCACCAGTGGATAGAATTGGTATTGCACATTTCCAAAACCAGATCCATAGTCCTTTCACTGCTGGAGGAATCAGAAAGACAGGAATAAATCTTGTTCCTTTCACACAACGGTACTTGGTATTTCTTCCACTAGTGGCAGTGAATTTGTTTTCAGGGTATCCAGGAGAATAAAAAGCAGAATCAGAAACAGAAAGCTGTAATGTCATTTTTATTTCACTTAAGGTAGAATCAGGGAAATAAAAAGAGATGGCATCTTCTAGGGTTTAAAGTGGTGCTGAGATTGATCTGCCTGACTGGATATAAGCCTTCTGGTTCTATTATTGAATCCTGGCTCCCTGGTGCTGATCTGTTAACAGCTCTGCCATTTCTCTGGGAGACTTCCAGACATCTGTGTCTAATCTCGTTGTTATGTTTCCTATTTCTGTTAGGTACTCTACAGGAAAGAAAAAGATAAACTGAGTCTTTCTGCTATTTAACCTATGTTCCTTTACCATGCAGATAACACAGAAAATGACAAGATTTCTAGGTAAATGTTATTCAGGTTTGTTCACTGGTCACATGATAGGACTGCTTCTGCTTTTAAGTGATATCACCAGTGTAGCTTAAACATGTTAAAAAAAAAACCACAATGACAATATACACTTTTTTTTTTAAATAACCAAGGCTCAAAGTAAATTATCTGCTCTACCACCATTTCTGGCAACTTTCAATTGTTTTTAGCTCTTTTTCCTCCTAGTTGGCTCCTTATTTTGGCCATTAATTGATTTGCTATTCCTCAAAAAATTTAAGCAAACAAGAAATCCAAAAGCACACCTATACACACAGGGTCTTCACCCTGTGCACGTTGCTGTTTAGTGAACTTCCATGATGTGGCAGGCAATGCTTTTCCAATGGTAGGTAAGACATGATCCCTTTTGCTGAATAATGCATAATCTAGTGAGGGAGAGACTATATAGCAATCTATGAATGTCACTAAAAAACTATATAAAAATTTGCTAGGACAGAGAAAGGAATGATAGCTGCATGGGAGGGTCGCTAGCTTCAGAGGGAGGAAGGTATTTTTGTAATTCTGAAGGATAAATATTTCCTGTATCATAAAGTTGGAGTGGAAATGGAATTTTAAAAGATTATATATTCAGATTACATGGGATGGGATTCATCACTGCAATAATTTCAAAATGCCCCAACAAGTAATAATAGGAGTTTTACTACAAGTGATAGGGCTGGGATTTGATCCTCAGCTTTTCTGGCTTCAAAGCCCCATGCTCTTTGCGTCCAACAGCTGGATTATACTCTGTTATCAAGGCCCTATTTTCCAATCTATGATTGATTGAGCCCTCGTATTAAGTTCATAACCAATTTTTACTTTCTTAATGCTAAAGATACAGTTCAGGTATAAGTATAATTCAGAAAAATCTAATTACATTAAATCTATAATTATTCCATAAAAATGTAACTTGTTCATGCTTTAGTAATCTGAAGTGTGAGGAAGTGTAAACAATGGAAACAGCATGGACTCTGAAGCCAAATAGACCTGGTTTCAAATTCTGGCCCCATCTTTTCTAGCTCTCTCAGCCTGAGTAAGTCACGTCACCTCTAAGTTGGATTTTCTCTTGCATAAAATGTGAATAGCTAGTACCTACCTCCCAGGGTACGATGCATGAATGAAATAAATAAAGAAAATACCCAATAAAGTAGGACCTCAAAAAATGTAATGTATACAGCTACCAGATGAAGGACTTCACAGTATTCAACACCAACATAAGAGGAGGTTTACGTCAAGAGGAGACTTAAGACAGCATCCTCAAAAGACATTCTCTGTGACGTAGGCGAGGAGGAAAGGACACCCATCCACAACCACCATTACCTGCAGTTTGTTATTTTACAGGTAATATGAAAAGGTTCTTCTAGGTTTACGGTATCTGGGATTGCCTCCAAAGACAATCTAACATCTCCATAACCTGGAGCCTAAGAGAAAAAGCAACAGAGTTAACATACATCTATTATAAAACCTTTCCACTTTAATAAAGGTACCCCACTAGCACATTCACTCCTCAACAGCTGGTGCGTCTCCAAGCTGATGTTTGGAGAAAATACTTCCCAGTCATTCTATTGTTCTCCGTTCTAACTTCTTTTGCTGCTATTGCCTGTGGAACAACACTGTGGACCCTGGCTGTGTTTGCGATGATTATTCCATGTTCAGCAAGGATCAATAGGTAAAATAGTAAAGAAATTTCAATAGGTCTGATCTTAAAGGGATGCTTTTGAAAGATCCTATAGCTTATATATACATAACTCTAAAAAGATAAGGTTACTGCCTAAACACATAGAGTAAGATTGCTTTGAAAAGATCCAGGAAAATAAACAAACATGTTCATACACAAGAGACCATAGAAACATCAAAGCTTGGAATATCCATGGCAAGATGATAGCTAACGGCTATATTTTAAAATAGGCTCAGTGATAATCTTTTTTCCCCCCACTTATTACCTGAAATAGTTAAAGAAGAGTAATTTTTAAAGAATGTATCACAATATTTAATATTCAATATAAAGGGAAGATTCTGTAGCATACTCTCACTAGCACAAGAGAAAGGACTGTAGCCATCCCTACTTTAAGAGCAGAAATTAGGTAAAACTATTCAAGTAATGCTTATAAGATAACTTTAATAGGACTCACTTTCTGAATTTCAGACAACTCAGATTCCCAAAGTCTTTAAAAAAGTATGAACTGAGTTGGTGAATGTAGTTAAGTCCAATAGTATCAGGACCTTGCAAAAAAACCCTTAACGTAGTGGAAGTCAGATGAACAGTGAGCATGAGATACCACAGAAGGGAAAAATTGGTGAGCAGTAATTTAATTTGGTAGAGTAACAATCCATGTATTATGGATAAATTAACATTTGAACATTTTTCATTCATCTCAATACCAAGTTTCTACCTAGAGATCAGTAAAATTATTAGTCTTGTTTCTCTTATTTATGGATAATATTAATGCCTTTTATAGTGCTGATTTTTGGTGATGCACCTAGGAAAATTTAAGCTGTTCTAACTATCTGCCCCCCAAACACCAAAACCCCCTCCGTTTTTTCTAGACTCACCATTCGCTGAAGTTGGCTGGTCTGTAATCTTCCCCTTTCACCTAGATTTGTTTTCCACACTATATCCAATTTTCCAATTACTGTTACTCCTTTAATGATGCCTGCTTTTTCTGCAAACTCCTTCTTGGGTTTTAGGCAGTACAAATACTGGCGTGTATCCATGGGCTGCAAATATGCTCTTGACCCAAACGTAGTTACACTGAGAGGGGTGGAGAGAGAGATGGAGAAAATTCTCTAGCGTCTTTTAAAAGAAAAACCATGGCTGTGATTGTTCCTTTGGACAGGAACTGAATGATTTACCATCCAAATATCTTCAATAGAACAGATCAGTGGTTTCAATACAAATGAAAAAGGACTTGAACTGAGAGGATTTATTTTTCTTTAAATTTTTCAGGTGACAGGGAAAATCTTTAAGTTCCTTATAATAGAATGCAATATATTACCTAAAACACTGGATATGTATCAATTACCTGAAAAATGCAACAGAAATCAAAACCTAAAGTATTCTGTCCCGTTTCTCTATAATTCAAAGAAAATAGTTTGGAAAAAGAAACATACCATTGTAAACGAAGTGATCATTTTTTAAATGAACTAAAAGATCAGGGGAAGACTGGAAAGTTACTGTTGTCCTCAGGGGGGATTTGGAAGGCTACAAACTTTACTGAATTTAACCATCATAATAAGATAAAAAGTAAATGTTTCATTTTGATGAATGAAATCAGGTACTTTCTCCAGCTATTACCTTCTTATCCATATTAAAGTCAACTTTATATTTATTTATTCTTCCTCTTTTAAATCACCTACAGAAAGACATATGTATTTCATTTTTGTAGAATACTAGATCTATTCCTATGCCCACTCCTTTTAATGTTGACAGAATATTCTTAAAACTCACCCTTCACCTTTATCCTTTCTAACCTCTCCATCATTCCTTCCCATGCCTCAATTTTATCATTTGCAGGAAAGGATGAACAGTTTCAGATTTACCTCACTGAATTATAAAAATTAAAAGACTGAGTGCTTCCAACAGCAAAACTTAAAATGCAAATGGCTAGGATCTTTGTATCTTTATGTGGAGGGAGGAATGAATGGGTGAAGCACAGTTGATTTTTAGGGCACTGGGACTATTTTGTGTAATACAGTAATGGTGATTACATGTCATTGCACTTGTCAAAACCCACAAAATGTAGGACATAAAGAGTGAACCCCGAATGGACACTATGGACTGTAATGAGTAAAAGTTATCAATATTGGTTCATCAACTGTAACAAATGTGCCACATTAGACCAAGATGTAAATAATAAGGGAACTATGAGTAGAGGGAGGGGCATGTGGTAACTCTGTTTTCTGATCAATTTTTCTGTGAACGTAAAACTTCCTAAGAGGGCGCTCGGTTGGCTCAGTCGGTTAAGCATTTGCCTTTGGCTCACGTCATGATCCCAGTGTCCTGGGATCCAGTGGCATGGCGGGGGGTGGGGGTGGGTTGGGGGGGTGTCCCTGCTCAGTGGGGAGTCTGCTTTTCCCTCTACCCATCACCCCCTGCTCGTGATCATGTCTCTCACTCTTTCTCTCAAATAAATAAAATCTTAAAAAAAAAACTTCCCTAAGAAAAATAAGGTCTATTAATTAAAATACAAATTACAAACCATCCAAGAATAAAAGTGTTAGAAAAGTTCATATACTTAAAAAGAAACACTTTGTAATTCATATTTACCATTCTCCAGCTTGGCTGACTGAGTTTAATTCTGCTACATTGTACATTATTGATGGTTCCAATGAAACTTTCTCCATAAACATGGGTGAGGTTGTAATATTCTGAATCTGGGCTTCGAGAAATACTTCATCAGTCTGAGGATATGAAAAAAATATCCACCAAAGTGTAATGGTATTTAAAATATTTACCTCAACAAAAATATCTGATCTATACGAAGAAAAAATATTAACCACAACTGTGATTAGTTCATGCCTGCAAATCAAAGTTATCATAATTAATGCAAGAAAAGAAATCTTCATCCTAACGTAATTAACAGGGGCAAAGTCAAGTGTTAGTTAACTGATAACTTGTCAAACAATGGATGGGGGATAACTAATATTTTTTGTATCAACATCCAAAAATAGTTATTTTACTGGAATTTCATTCACAGATACCCTAATTCTTCTAGTAAGTCATTAAAATGTTAAAATGCCATTTAGTAAGATGAATATACCTATGTACCTATCCTTTCAGTGACATGTTAATATAACATATATTATATATTCTATCATAATACAGTTTTCAATGGTCATATTATTTCAGTTTAGGAAGTATAGGGACCACCAGTACAGTGAATAATCAGTCTATTCTATAATCTTAAAGGATTTAATTTTTTAATTAAAGCAATTTGTTAGTGGTCATTAGTGATTTCTTGGTTCATTTAAAATGTACACTTAGGGCTAAAAAATGTATGTGAATTATACTTGACAGTCATAGAGCTTCTAAATCAAACATAAGGTATTCTGTAGCCTTAGATTTGAAAACTAATGCTATTCAGCAATATTTTAATGAGTGGGTAATTTAAATATGTACTTTTATATAAAATTTTTATTTCCTAAAATTTAGGGATTAAATTTAGATTATTTATATTAAACATCCTTTTTATGTGATTTGGCTTTTTTTTGTGTATAACTGAAGGGTAACAGAACTTGGTTCATTTTCGAAATAAACCTATATAGAAAGTGACACACTAAGGATATTCAATAATTATTTTGTTCAAAAGTTTCAGAGTAATATATATACGGAAATAAAAAAATAAAATATGACCCAAGAAATCTGGCACTAATAAACATTTTAAATATTAAATCCAGGAAAATGGAAATCATTTGCAAAAATGTAATGATGAAGTTATAGTGTAATGTATTATCATCTAAACTAAAACAGATTCTTTAGTTCTTGGCACATGTACTCAAATGAAAACTGAAATACAATGATTTATCAGTCTAAAAGAATGTGCCACTTAAAGGCATTATCCTGTTACTTTTTCTCAAAAAAAAAAAAGGTAAATATATCCCATCAATCCATTGCTTTTAAAAATATAACCACAAGCCCACATTTCAAATTTAAAAATGCAATTTTCTGCTTAAATTTAGGAAGAGCTTAGGTAAAATGAAAGAAAAACAAAGCAGCATAATGGAAAATTAAGTTAGTTTGAACAGTTAGTACAAAGTAATTTGACACTTGAAAGATTAAGAATTCTGTGCTACAGCAGTTGATGTTGTTATGTAAGTCATATATGATAAGCAAATGCTGCGTATATTAAATAGAAATTTGAATATATGACTTTAGTCAACTTGGGGACATTTGAGGTTCTTCTGTTTACTAATGTCAAGGGGCCAACTTTACCTGACCCAGACATAAAACTAAAACCACTGTGCATTTGAAGATAAATTTCAACTAGAGTTTACCTCAAAGAATTAAAGTACAGTAAAGAATCTTATAGGAAAATGTTGAAAATTCCAAGGCTATTTTTAACAAGGTTAACATGCCTCTTTTAAAAAACACCCAAAGGAAAAACACTAAAAATGAGAGCATAATTGTTTCAATATAATTTAATCTTCAATTTAATTTTTCCCCAGAGAGGAAGATAATCAATATAATATAAAAAGTACAAATTAGATACATCTTTTAAAGTCACAATAGGTGGTATTCACAACTAACTTTGTTTTTCCACTATGTTTTGTAAACAGAGATTAATTAGGCAGAGTCAAAAAGTGGTAAGTAAGAAAAGCATATAAATTTATAATAAAAAATCAAATTACCACAGAACTGAGGTCACTCTAATGGAAAAATAAAAAAGAAAAATTAGAAAAATCAGAATTAAATGTTAAAGAAAAAGAATAACTAACTTTAAAATAAAATGCATTTCTGCATTTTTTTTAATTTTCTAAACAAGACAGCATTAGTAAAACAAAGAAGTAAACAAAGTAACAAAGGAATATGACATCATTTTTCTAAACAGGTGAAACTGCTATGGTTAAATGAACAGAGAAGAACATTCTAGGTGAATATTTAAACAGGAGCAAATATTCAAGGATACATTTGGGTGAAAAAGGTATATTGCATGCCTTTCTAGTTCTAGAAATTCTTTACCTACACTGTAATTCTTCATGGATTACTTAGGATGGTTACACACTCTCCTCCACAATCAGAGTAGTTATACACTGTACTGTACAGCTTCTCCTAAATTTATCTACTAATGGAAGCATTTTTTTAAGGAGCATCTTCAGTGATTAGAGTTCCATTCATTACTCTTCAGGAAATGCTGGGCTAGACGACATCAGACAACTGAGAGTTTATTCTTTTCTTGTTAATATATTTTATAGTTTGTCTTTTTTTCATATTTACTTCTAAGGCTACTTATTTATCAAGGCTCATCTCAAATGTTGCCTCTTTTGTCCAACCCATTGCTAAAAATACTTTTTCACCTCTGATGTTCCCAGAGTCTAAGTATACTTTATGATCTACGAGGTGGTGCTTGCATTGCAATTTTCTCATGTTTGTCTCCTCCACTAGATCTAAGTACCCTGAGGATTGGGAAGATGTCCAGTTTATATTTATTTCTTTCTAGTACCTGGCATGGAGCCCTATTCCCAGCAGGTGACCCAATGTTTGAATCCTAGTTGCTAATGTCACCAATCTTCTTTCCTATTTTAGAAGATTACAACAAAGTTTCTCATAAAACTTGTTTTCCTTTCAGTGATTCACATATTACTAGAATTATTAGAAACAGTGTAAAAAAACATGTTTGAGGCAAATGTGGGGCTAATAAAAGTCAATGTGTAAGAACTATGGCACAGAGTAATAAACATCACCTACTGGTATCAGTGTGGTTTGTGAACTCCTATAATTTATCTGAATTTTCTAGTTGGGGTCAACAGAATCTGCTTGGTCCTACAGGCTGAATAGTATTTGTTTGCCTAATAAGTAATACTGAATATCCTAGAGACCCTAAAAATACTATTTGTTCGCTCCTGGTTTTTAAAGAAATCTCTATTTTCAAAGGTTCAGAATTTCACAAATTACTTATAATGTTAACTGAAAAAAGCAGCAAACTGTTACTATGACTAAAAAACCAATATTAAACATAAGTGACTAAAATCTGAAAGAGAACATGGATTAATGAAAAGCCCATTATTCTTTAGGTGTGGTAGAATTGTGGGGATTTTTTCCCCCTTCCTTTTGGGGAGTATATCACATTTATAATATTATTCATGGAATAATTAGTAATTTAAAAAACTGCAAAAATCACTCTGAATATTAGTGTTATAAAACTATTTGACAAGTATCTTAATGTACCATGACACATTTGCAGCAAAGAAAACCTAAAAGAGTTTAATATGTGCCTTCCTAAGAGTCAATTATAAGAAAAAGACCTCCTATAGCCCTATTGGCTTCTAATTTGCAAACATATGTATTCTAGCAGAATAGTTATCTATCTTCCTTCATACTGTGGATGAACTCTTTCCCAGCAAAATAATAAATTAAGACCACTTAAAATTCAATAAGCGGAATAGCTATACTATAATTAATCAAAAGTATTCCAGTAAAACAAAAAAGGCAGAACACACATGTAGTATGGCACCTCCCTTACCCCCTGAAATGTTAACTCTAAACATCTAGTAATCCCCTTGATGAGACTGTATCCTCCCATGAAATATGTATATTCTTCACTTATGTACTCAATATTCCATGTGCATTTGTAATTCTGTTTGTAATGCCTTCACTGCTTTGACACTTTTATGTTTCCAACATCTATTATTTCCAGACTCCACTCCAGTTCCCCTTCTCATCTTCTCTGAAGAGTACTGTAAAATCTCAGCCCCAGACTTCCTATAGTACTTCAAATTCACTATATATACTATATTAGGTAGTTTAATTACTTTATGCACTTTTTTCTTTTTTCCTGCTTTACTGCAGGTCAGATTCCTTATCTTAGACACCTCTTAGTATGCCCAGTTGTAGTACAAACTACATTGAATAAAAACTCAGATGCTGATGGTAAAAATACATACCAAATTTGACATGGTACTACAAATTTCTGATCATTTGGTTTAGAGTAATAAAGACAGAATTTTTACTTCAAAATACTGTATTTTAATATTTTTTAATTTATCACTGTGGTATGAAAGATACGATTTTTGCAGGAGTAAGGGGCCCATTAGGAAATCTGCTTTTTGTGGAACTCTAGAAGCCAAGATAAAGTAGAATTTTTATTTTATTTTTTTTAAGTAGAATTTTAAAAAAGAAATCTGAACAATAAAACCTTCTATGGCAAAGTCTATTTTACCTCTTTTGTTCGAATAGAAGATAAACTTCTATTCTAAAAGTTACCATATTTCTATTTTTGCCAAACTTGTTTCTCCCAAAAAGTATTTCTAACCATTCACTGAATTTAAGAACCAAACTGCAGCTGACACACTGATTTCCCAGGACAAAGAATTTAATTTCCTGAGCTCTATTTATCAATATTTTCCAAGAATATTAAATAATTTTTGCAGGATTAGATTGACTACTTCAATTTTTTATGGTATCAGAATCACACTGTAAATATTTAACAAATTGCTAATGTTTTAGACAGCAATAATAATCATTAAATGGAAGCTTAGGGCAATCATTTAATGAAAGGGGGTGAAAGCATCATGAAATTAACAAGAATAAAATTCATGATATACTGATCCTATGTAATTTAAAAACAGCAGATTAAAAGATCTACAATGAAATTATTCTCTTCTGATTGAATTTTAGGCTCATTTTTCACAAATAATTCAGTCCTCTCAGCAATTTACTTCAACATGAAATGAAATGTAACACATCAGAATTTTAGTCAAATAAGATCTTACTGTTTAATCTGAATTCCTATTAAGTGCTGAACACTTACCTCTGCATTGTAAAATTTGGTTTTCACATCCAATGGTTTGAGAACCTAGTTGAATAAAGCATATCAATCAGAGGAGATTATTATTTGACCATTTATTTTTGTTTATTTATTTTAAATCACAGGGCTTAAATCTGTCAAAGGCATTTTCCAATTTTAATTGTAAAAAGCTTCTTTAATAGCTATGCAACATTTTTGCAAAAACAACAAGAAAACCAAACAATCCCAAATACATTTCTAAAAGACAACCATCATTTCTTAATTGGGTGACAGTCACATGAGTTACATGTGTGTTTACTTCATAATATTTCGCTAAACTGAATACATGTATTTTATGTATTTTTCTCTATGTATTCCACAAAAATGTTTATTAAAATAAGCGGACAAATCTTTTATTTTCTTTTAAAAGGCATGCAAAATCTTAGCGATACAGCAAAGCAATAGCAAAATTTTTTCCTTTTTTTTTTTAGAAAGTTTTGTTTTTTCAAGTAATTTCTATGCCTACCATGGGGTTTGAACTCAAGACCCCAAGATCAAGAGTCACATGCTCCACCTCATGAGCCAGCCAGGTGCCCCAAAATAAATCTGGGTACATTTTATGTATGTATGTATGTATGTATGTATGTATGTATATATGTATGTATGTATTTATTCCTACCGATAGTACTTTTTCTTCCACTTAAAAACAGGTATGAAAAATATATATAGCATAATATCTAGATCTAATTTAGTTATATATGGTCATCTCATCCCTTCTCGCATATACTTGCCTATGTTAAACCAGTGGTTTTTAACTATTTTTAATCATGGAGTGAAAACTGTGTATAATACAGAACTCTACCTACAACTTTGGTGACTCATGGAATACCGGAAGGAAGCTTGGTCCACTCAGTCCAAGTCAATTATCTCTCATTTAAATATTTCTTTAGAAATTTGATATGATTTACACTTAATTTATCTGGACTTTACACTCATTTTATCCCTCTTGTTTATTCTTGTGAGTTTTGTCAAGGCATAAAAAAGAGGACAATTTTTTATGGATAAAAATCCGTAAATGAGGGGTGCCTGGCTGGCTCAGTCAGAAGAGTGTGCAACTCTTGATCTTGGGGGTGGGAGTTCGAGCCCCTTGCTGGGTACAGAGATTACAAAAAAAAAAAAAAATAAACAAAAAAAACTTCAGGTGAAATATTACACTGACAATGATAATTTCTCTGCTTTTACTTTAGTCTGACTTTAGATTTCTAGTAATATGACAAATCCAAACATATGAAGCTACTTGCTTTATTTGGAGCCTGTTTCCACTGCAGTTAATAGGAATAACTTCATAGGGGGAAAAAAGGCATCTAAAAACCATTTACATTGTCACATTTAATACCTGAAATTTGAAGAATTTTCTAAAATACATTTTTTCTCCACCCTGAGTTGTATAGCTCACTGCACACACCAAGCTGAAATGGAAAGGTATCTTTGAATCATCTTTGATTTTGTTTAATAATAAATCTAATACACCTCAATTCTACTCACAAATTTGGAAAATATTAATACCAATGGTGTAAAAGTGAAGCCAAATGAGCCTAGAGTAGGAAAAAAAGAGTTTTAGCAGATAAAAATATAATTCCATGAACAAGAAAGCTCTGATTAGCAAAATTAAATATACCATGGTGAAATATATTCCAAAACAAATCCCAGAATAATCAAATAGTTGAATGTACAAATTAAGTGTTCATATAAGTTAGAAGAAAAAAATACAAATTCAAAAAAATCCTAGGATGAGGAAAGACTTTAATATAAATGGGCAATGGAAAGGAAAAGTGTCTTATAAATTTATAAACTGAATAAATCAAAACCACATTAAAACAAAAAGCAGACAAAATGGGATAAAATACTTCTAACAAAATGAAATCTCATAAGCAAAACATTAGAATCTTGCTCAAAATAGGAGAAAAGGATACATAGATAGATCACAGTACCATAAATGGCTAACAAAAATGTGAAAATGTTCAGCCTCACAAGTCAAAGAAATAAAATGACGTGATACAATTTTTCTACCTCTTAAGATTGGAAAAAATTCTTTACAGGTGTTACCACGATTGGTGAGGGTTTAGAGAAACTGACTCTACACTGCTAGTGGTTATAAGAGATTTAGAAAACAAGCCTTAAGTAAGAATCTTAAAAATGCTTATATGCCCCTATGGTAAACCCACTACAAGCAATCTACCACAGGAAATATTAAGGTGCTCATCACTGTGTTATTTATAATAGCAGGAGACTAGAAATAATCTAAAGTCCAACACTGGTGTAAACAAATTAAAGTATATGGTCCAAGAATATAATATAAAACTATCTTAAAAATAATGTTTTCAAAGAACACTGATTCAAGTGGGAAAATGTTCACAGTGCACTGGGAAAGATAAAACCATCTTGATCTGATCAAAATTTTGAAAAATATTATTTAAATTATTTATACAAATCTGTTATATAAACACACATAAAAATTAGAAAATCGTATATTAATATTTTAATAGTGGTTACACTCTGTGGTGACATTACAGGAACTCCAATTTCTCCTTTATAAGTTAAGTGTACATAAACAAGGTACTAGGGATACAGAGTTGATCAAAAACACAGTAACTGCTTTCAAGTGCTCACAGTAGGAAGCAGTATAGCAGGGTATGGGTTTTTTGAAGCCAGATTTAGATTTGAGTTCCGTGTCATTATTTGCTATTTAATTCTACAAAAGACTCATTTTCTCTAAAAGGTTTTTAAACATTTAATAATCTTCAATAAACTTACCAAGTTTTTAATAAAATTTAATCATTATAATAAATACAATAAAAATTTAATAAATTTCAATAAACTCTATTTCAACAAATGCTGACCACTCTTCTCTGGTAGATCATGGAGATACAGCCGACTTCATGGAACTCATACTCTAATGGAAATGACAGGCCCTAAGTAATTAATTTTAAGTAGAAGACTGAAAAAAATGACAAGTTGTGGATGTTACAGAATACGTTAAAAGGGATATTTAATTTAGTCTTGGAGGTCAGGAAAGCCTCTTCAAGAAGTCATGGTGAATCGGAGATATGAAGAAGTGGAAGTAAGCTAGAAAAAGAACAGAGGCATTCCTTAGGAATGGAAGAATTTATCTCAAGTCACAGAGGAGTGCAAAAGAAAGAGACTTCCAATATGACAGTATAAAGGAGCGAGGAGTGAGAAAAGGTAAGAACTAAAGCGGCTGGTAAGGATTAGGTTCTAGAGAACTTTGTAAAGCCAACACAAAGAATTTTCTAAGGGTAGTGGTAGTCACTGAAGAGTTAAGTGACTTATCCAAGACCATGTAATTACTAAATGATGGAGGTGAAATTTGAACTCTAAATTTTGACTCCAAAGCTTATACCAACCACAGAATATATACCAAGAAGTGCCTACAAAAGAGACGTCACCACAATGAACTGATTAACAGCTAATGTTATATACTTCTTTAAGTCATGGAAGAGAGGCAAAAATGGTGACAAGGGTGGAGATGAAGAAGGGGGGGATAATGACATATAGTTAGTAAGAACTTTCAGGACTTTGTAAATTGATTGTATGTGGGGATGGTAAGGCAGATGAAGTCTAAAATTACTTTAGATGGCTGAAATTTTCATATTTGCCTCTCAGACAAAGAAAAATAGAGAATTCACACTGAAATACATACATAGGCCAGGAATACAGAATTTGAGATTTTTTTCTCATAGCTTGTCTTACTTTGGTTCTGTATTTCTGAATTCTCAGGGTAAAGTGTATATACACAGTTAAATACAGAACTGAAAAGTTGTAATTTAAAAATAAACACTATAATGTCAGTTCCTAGCATTTCAAAAAATAATAAATGTACTTTCAGAATGGTACTTGGGTTTTAAACATTTGTACGGCTTTTTATTTTTTGGATAAGATTGTCTGTAGATGCAAACATGAAAACAGAAATAAAGGAAAATAAATTAACATATTTTCCCCTATAAAACAAACATTTTGTTTAAAGTTTGTTTGTGGTAAGCACGTAAGCTTACAACATTAAATTCCTTCCTAAGTAGATTCTTAGGCTTAATGCTAAATGTACGTAAAGCGAAAATTTCAAATAAAGGCATACATAAGTAAAAGCCTTTGAGAACTAGTAAAATTAATCCTTACATGTGTGTTCCAATTTCCTTTACTTCATGGTGTATGACATCATCAATACAACAATCAGGTTTAAGTTCAGCCACTGCAGCATTGGAGGCTGAAAGATTTAAACGCTGAGAACTTGTCTGAAGATCAGCCTTGAAAAAAAGAGATTAAAAAAAATCCAAATGAGACTGGTTACCTACAGGTAAATTCAGAGAAAGTAAAGATCATGCTACGTCATAAGGATTAGGGGAAGTTTTTATATAAAAGCTTGGATTCTGGGGCGCCTGGGTGGCTCAGTCATTAAGCGTCTGCCTTCGTCTCAGGTCATGATCCCAGGGTCCTGGGATCCAGCCCTGCATTGGGCTCCCTGCTCGGCAGGAAGCCTGCTTCTCCCTCTCCCCCTGCTTGTGTTCCCTCTCTCGCTGTGTCTTTCTCTGTCAAATAAATAAATAAAATCTTAAAAAAGATAAAAATAAAAATAAAAAAATAAAAGCTTGGATTCTATTAAGTCTTTGTTTTTAAAAACCTAACAGGTTTTCTGCAGTTAATTCTAATCTAACATTCTTAAAGCTAGGCACTGGGAAGCGGGATATTTATTTGTGCTATCCCTTTGGTCGTTATATTCAGTTATAAAATAGCAGGAACTCAGATTTATTGGGCACTCTCTATGTGCAAGGCCTTGTTCTAAGCTCATTATTCATTTAATATCATCGGGCTCCCTGCTCGGCAGGGAGTCTGCTTCTCCCTCTGACCCTCCCCCCCTCTCATGCTCTCTCTCTTTCTCTCTCTCAAATAAATAAATAAAATCTTAAAAAAAAATATCTACAATCCTAAGTAGGCAGTCATACGATTCCCATTTTACACAGAATAAAACCAAGGCACAGAGAAGTAACAACTTCCCTAAGGTTATACAACTAGTAAGTAATGGAACCAAGATTAAAAATTCCTTAAACATTTTAGAAATCAGAGAAGAGGGGGTTAAAAAAAAGAAGCACTGAAACCCATGGGCTTTCTGTCCAGTATGTTTTCCTCTATGTCATTTTTTTAAGTGTCATAACTACAGTATTAATATATATACGGCTGAACACTTGAATCTTTTTTTCTTTTTTGCTATTATAAATAATGCTGCACCAAACATTTACTTTCTTATTACCTACTATAGGCCAGGGCTTTGCCAGGAGCTGGAGATACATCAGTGAACAAAACAGACCAAAATCCCTACCTGTGTTGAATTTAAATGTTTGGGGAAAATAGTAGTGGAGAAATAGAAGGCTGGCTTGGGATAGGGGAATATTTTTTTTTTTTTCTCAAGAGGGGCCTGACCTCACAACCCTGAGATCCAGACCTGAGCTGAAATCAAGAGTCAGAAAGGGAGATGAACCATGAGAGACTAGGGACCCTGGACCCCAGAAGACAAACCGAGGGTTTCAGAGAGAGGGGGGCACCTGGGTGGCTCAGTTGGTTAAGCATCTGCCTTCGGCTCAGGTCATGATCCCAGGGTCCTGGGATCAAGTCCCGCATCGGACTCCCTGCTTGGCGGGAAGCCTGCTTCTCCCTCTCCCACGCCCCCTGCTTGTGTTCCCTCTCTGGTTGTCTCTGTCAAATAAATAAATAAAATCTTAAAAAAAACCAAAAAACAAAAACAACACTAAGCTGACAGCAAAAGAATAAAAAAAGTACAGATTCACAATCTCTCTTCTTGATTTCAAAATTCCAGGAGTTATAAAAAAAAGTTTTGAGGGCAGAAGTCTGGGTAGCTGAAGTAATAGTAGCAGTATAATTACGATCTCCCAAGTCATCCACAAAACAAAAACAAAAACAAAAACAAAAACAAAAAACCAGACAAAAACAAATAAAACTATACTAAACCTTGTGTTAGTGTAAGTAGAAAGCAGCAAATGTCCAAATTTCAAATTACCCAAGGAGACAATATCAAATTTTTGCAAGCTATTTCTCATGCTCTTGCCATAAGCCTTTGCAAAGAATAAGAGAAGTTCAGGAAAAGTTGAGCTGAAGAGAAAGAGAAGGTCTAACACTGATCTAAACCACTTCCACAAAGACAAAGTCTATTCTAAGCGTGAAAATACTGAGAAAGGGCATTACTGGAAGATGAGAGCATGGTCTATAGGAAAGGGACGTAACAGTTGTTTGACAGGAAAGAAAACACATCAGGGTTTTGAAAAAGAGTTAAAAGGAGAGACACCTTTTGGAAACTGTGGAGGGAAGAGGAAAAATTTAGGACACTACAATTCACATGAAAAGAGAAAATCTGGGGCTCCTGGGTGGCTCAGTTGGTTAAGCGTCTGCCTTTGGCTCAGGGCATGATCCCAGCGTCCTGGGATCGAGCCCCACGTCGGGCTCCTTGCTCAGAGGGGAGCCTGCTTCTCCCTCTGCCTGCTGCTCCCTCTGCTTTATTTATCTCTGACAAATAAAATCTTAAAAAAAAAAAAAAGGAAATTTGAGGAACACACAACCCCTTCCTCCTTCATCAGCCTTCCCAAAAGCCATCCAGTAAAGAAACCACACTTTGTTCACAATGCTTTAAGAGGGTGTTTTTGAATTAGGAATATCAAAGCACCCAAACTACATTTCACAGAATGCAAAGCTACCAATAGTCTTCATCTATACAAAAAATACTATAAAAGTAGATGAGAACTGAGACAATTCACTGATAAAAACTGCCACCCAAAACCAATAGTGAACTAACTACTGTATACTAAGAGAAAACTACAGTAAAATAGTCAAACTGAATTAAATACTCTCAAGAGAACATATGAAATATAAAAAAACACCTAGAATGAGAAATTTTAAAACTAAAGCTAAATTTGTTGGTGTTGTTGTTTTAGCATGGAGCTAAAATTTTTTTAGAGAAGAATGTAAATAGTTGATTAAATTCAGGAAAGAAAAAAAGAAAAGGACACAAATCATATTAGAAACGTGAAATGACAAACGAAATAACTGAATACAACTACTATTAAAATCCATGAAAACTTTCTAGAAATAAAAGATCTAAATCTACATACTGAAAGGGTCCACTTGCTATCAGAGAAATGACATCAAACGACCAATTCTAAAACATACAGGAAAAAAAAAATCCCTAGGGCCTCCAGGAAAAGTTACCAAATAACTTACAAGGCAAGAGAATATGACTGGCATCAGTCCTCTCAAAAACAGCATATATAGCTAAGTAACAAAGGTGTAGCATTTTCAGAAAACATAAGGAAGGAAAATGTAAACGAAGGATTTTATATCCAGCCAAACTGTCCTTCAAGTATAAAAACACTTTTGGACATTTCAAGGCTCTGAGGATATTACCCCCCACAAGCATGTCTGGAGCAATCTACTTGAGAAATCTCCATCCAATCAACATGCAAATAAAAATGGGAAGATACGAGAAGGGGGCAAAGGAAAGTGGTCTAAGCAATAGGTAGAGTTAAAGGACGCTATTAAAGACTAAAAGCCCTACAGTAAGCAGCCAAGTAAGAAACAGCAAAGGGGGTAAATATCATAAAAGGCATAAATACAAAGGCAAAATGTAAAACAAAATACAAACTTCCCTAAACACAAAAATTATTTGAAAAATAAGGAATGAAAACACACTGTGTGGAGAAAAAAGGCATAGCAGATATAACATAATACACTTACTATTTAAATAGAAAACAATGTGACATATTTGAAACTGACCATATAAACTTATAGATATATGTGAATGGACTTAATTCATCTAATAAAAATATTCAATATGGCTCACAAAGCAAGACCCAACTATGTGTAATATAAAAGAAACATAAATAAAAACAAAATGAGAAAGGCTAAAAATAAAAAGATGGACAAAGGCACACCAGGCAAATGGAAACAGTAACAAAACCGGGTAGTGATATAGACACCCCAACCAAGATTCGAGTCAAAAAGCATTAAACTGGCAAAGGAGGAAACTTTTACTGCTATAAGCCACAATTCAAAATGAAGAATAACAAGCATAAATATCTATGAACCAAAGAGCATAGCCTTTCATAAAGCACAAAGTTTAAGATAGAAATAGAAGCACCCTAATAATATGAGATTAACATGTCACTTTCAGTACAAGACAGATCAAGTTGACCAAAAAAAAAAGGGGGGGGGGAAGTAAAGATACGGGAGTCCTACCAACACCATTAGTAAGGTAAATCTTATGGATCTACATATCTAGCTTTACAATGGATAATAGAAAATACATCTTCTTCTTAAGTACACATGAATATTCATTAAAAATTAATATTAGGTCACAAAGAAAACACTATCAAGTTCTGTAAGCAGGAATAAAACAAGAACAAAATTTATCACAATGCAATTAAACAAACTATAGATCATTAACCGAAAAAAAACCCTCCTTTCTATCTGAAAAACCTATTAAACAACTCTTGGGTAGAAGAGGAAATAAAAATAAAATTATAGAATTCTTCAAAAAGTAATCAGAATGAAAACGCTACATATTAGAATCTGTAGGATATGTTTAAAGTAGTCAATCAGAAGAAAATTCTTTTATCAACAGAAATAAAAGAATAAAAATTTAAAAATTAAATCCCCAGCTGAGAAAGCTAGAAAAGAACAAAGTAAAAAATCAGAAGCATAAGAAAGGAATTTGTTAAAAGCAAAAATCAAAGAGGTAGAGAATAAAAACACATTAAATGTAAGTAATGAAAATAGCTTTTCTGAAAAAAAATATACAAAACAAAAGCTAGTTTAACGAAGAGAGAAAAAAAAGGAAGCAAAATTATGCAAAATAAGAAATGACCAGGGGAAAAATAACACCAATAGAGAAGAAATTTTTCAGAGACTGCTTTTAGACCTGTACGCAAATACTACCTAAAGTGGATCATTTCCAGGAATAAAAGTTTAACAAACTGTTATATGCCATTAGACACAAAAAGCTTAAACTGATCTCCACAGGAAAAAAGTGCAAATGTTAAGAAACTTCCCCCATTAGACATACAAGCTCACATGATTTCACAGAATTCTTTAAACCCTACAAAAAGCAGATAGTCTAAATGCTCCAAATACATTGTTTCAAGACACTGAAAATGAAGGAAAATTACCTAAATCTTTTACTTATTTATTTTTAAAAGATTTTATTTATTTAACAGCGAGAGAGATCACAGAGGGAGAAGCCGACTTGCCGCTGTGCAGGGAGCCCGATGCAGGGCTCAATCCCAGGACCCTGAGATCATGACCTGAGCCCAAGGCAGATGCTTAACCAAAGGCAGACGCTTAACTGACTGAGCCACCCAAGCACCCCCTAAATCTTTTTTTAAGAAACCATAATAGAGACATCTAAAAGTTAATAGACAACATAAAAAAGAAAAATATAAACCAGTATCATGCTGTGCTTCCTTACCTATATCCTCTTAAGTTATCTGATGTCAAAAACGGCTTATATGAGGGCGCCTGGGTGGCTCAGTTGGTTAAGCGACTGCCTTCAGCTCAGGTCATGATCCTGGAGTCCTGGGATTGAGGACCACATCGGGCTCCCTGCTCAGCAGGGAGTCTGCTTCTCCCTCTGACCCTCTTCCCTCTCGTGCTCTCTATCTCTCTCAAATAAATAAATAAAATCTTTAAAAAAATAAAAATCTTTAAAAAAAATGGCTTATATGTAAATCATGAATCTGAATGTCTTATCTGAGAAACTAAGATAACTCTTGGTGGGCACTGCACAATAAACATTAGCTACTATTATTATTAAATACCACTACCTTTATGGAAATTAAAACTGAATAAAGCCAACATAAATATAAATAGATATTTTATACTAAGTATGCTATTATATTACTCTTTTAAATACTGACTTAAATCATATGTACTTGTTGATTTATTCACCTTATGAAAATAAATTAATCAATTACTGAATGTCAACTATATGCCAGGAAAAAAGTATATGTTCTCCAAGTTCTCACAGTCAGACCTTTTCATATCAATGCAGAGGTTGGCAAACTTTTTAAAAGGTCAGATAGCAAATGACTTGGACTTTATAGGTCATAATACAATCTCTTTGCAACTCTGCAACTCCCCAGTTGTACTCCCAGTTGCAGCTTAATATCTGCCCCAGATAATACATAAATGAATGACTGTGGCTGTGTGCCAATAAAACTTTATTTATGGACAATGACATTTGAATTTCATATAATTTTCATATCCAAAGTTAAGATTGTTTCTTTTGAATCATTTGAAAATGTAGAAACCATTCGTAGCTCCAAGGCCTTATAAAAACAGGCAAGAGACCAAATTTGGCCTGCAGGCTATAGTCTGACAACCCGCAGTTTAATAAAAGGCAGAAACTCCATCCATATTATGACAAACATACAAACGTCTATGAAAAATTTTGCATCCAGTTTCTGGTAGTTGAGTCATATATGAAATTTGGAATATTGACTCTATGAGGTCCTTTTCAATTCTAATACTTGCTGATCGTTTTAAAACTCATTTTAATTGGACTTCCCTTTTGGCAATGCTCTAGTAACATAAAGTTACCATGTGAAAATAGCTTTGATGACTTCTCCCTGACCTACAGTAAAATTTTTTTTTTTTTTTAAGATTTTATTCATTTGACAGAGAGACACAGTGAGAGAGGGAAAACAAGCAAGGGCAGATGGAGAGGGAGAAGCAGGCTTCCCACCGAGCAGGGAGCCTGATGCGGGGCTCGATCCCAGGACCCTGGGTTCACGACCCGAGCCGAGGCAGACGCTCAACAACTGAGCCACCCAGGTGCCCCTGGCCTACAGTAAATTTTTACTTTCTTTATGCCCTTTCTCTTTCTGAATAAATTTCAGATTGTTTAATTGAGTTAGCATATTCTACCTTTTGATTTCTAAATGACTGCAAAAATCTCACTGGTGCATTTCCTACAAACTATCCCATATAATGCTTTCATATCAGTCTTCCAATTCCAACACGGTGTGAATACCTTTGCTCAAAAGTCCCCACTGACTGCCCACTGCCTTAAAAAAAAAAAGCTAAAACCCTTAGCTATAACCTGGCTTTTAAGATGCTCCACTTTATGACTACTACACATCTCTGTATCTTACCTACTTCTTCTATCAAGTGAATTCTGTTCTCTGTTACAAGCACACTTTATGGATGCCTATGCCTCTGCTCCTGAGTATCATGTTCTTTTTCTCTAAATCCTACCATTCTTTGAAGATCCTGTTGTGTTCCTTCTCCAATAAGTCTTCGTGATTGATGCAATCCTCTGTGATCTTTCCTCTTCTTCCAAATTTTATCATGTTAATCACAAATTATTAATAAAAACTTAAACCTTTGGTATACTTTCTCACCCAAGTGATCACATCTTTGAGGATAAGGAAAAATGATTCTGTGCCCAGAATATTATCTTATACCTTTAAGTGTTCAATTAATGCCTGTTTTTAATGACAATTAAAAAGTCCAGTATCAAAATGCATTTTAATGATGTTTCAAAACCACAGGAATACAAATTAAAAAGTTAAAAAAAAATATATCCCAAACAAGAATGCCACTTACTTTTACTAATATATCTTTTACAACTTGATTGCTATCATTATGAACGCTGATATAACTGGAAAAGGTCTCTCCCAAAAATATATTCCTGTGAAATAAAATAAACTTTTAGGCAAAAATCCACTCAAGTTTTAACACAAATATTCTATATAAGCACCACTGAGAACTTAAAGTGGAGAAGAATTTAGTAAAGGATAGTGATCTGGTTAAATACTGCTTCAGCATTCCTTTGTATACCTTAGGCTGCTCATTCATTACCCAGTACAGTTCAAAATACTGATATAGCTTATAAAACATGATATATATCTTGACGCTCAACTACTGTACAAACAGCCTGTTTCTCTAGACATAAGTCACTGAAATCAGATCCATGTTAAAAGTCTTAGGATTTATTACTGAAGAGACTAGAAAAGGCAATTTTTGAAATAGCTTATGCCCTAAATCTAGTAGAGACCCCAGTAACTGATCTGAGTATTTTTTACCAATTTGTTTTATTTTTCTAAGTTATTCTAATACAAATAATGACTACTTTATATTTTTGTAAAAATTTATAAGAATACCTGTTTATAAATATATATTACCCAAAAATCTATAAATATAGTTTATGTAATTTTTTTAATATGAATATATTTCCAAGCTTTCAAGACACCAGTCAGTGACCACATTCTCTAAACCTTTTTTAAAAACCTGAAAAATTGGGGCGCCTGGATGGCTCAGTCAGTTAAGTGTCTGCCTTCAGCTCAGGTCATGATCTCAGGGTCCTGGGATCGAGTCCTGCTTTAGGCTCTCTGTTCAGCGGGGAGTCTGCTTCTCCTTCTGCCTCTCTCTGTGCTCCCCCTCTCTAAAATAAATAAAATCTGAAAAATAAATAAATAAATAAATAACCTGAAAAATTCCACGTGGTCTTAAATTCTCTCAGTTGCAAACAGAGTAAAACCAAGGGCTTCTACCTCATTAGTAGCCTAGAATAAGAGAAGAGCTAAGAATAAGAGAAGGAATAAAAATTGACAGTTCCTAATGAGCTGACAAGTCTGACACCTTCTGCTGGGAGAGGACTAAGAAACTGAACAAGAAAGTCACTTCTGAAAAACATTTAGGTTAAGTCAGTTAAAAGGAAAGGAATACATGGTCATTAAAAAATGCAGTAAGATCTAAGGAAGAAAGTTATTTTATCATTCTAGGAACCATTATTCATACTTTGGTATTATCTTTTTTTTTTTTTTTTGCGGGGGGTGGTGGTGGGATTTGGAGGGGATGGCAGAGGGAAAGGGACAGAGAGAATCCCAAGCAGGTCCATATCCAGTGTGAGCCCGATGCAGGGCTTGATCTCCACCAACCTGAGATTACAATCTGAGCCAAAAGCAAGACTTGGACACTTAACTGATGGAGTCATCCACGAGCCCCTCCCCTTTTCTTTTTTTCTATCTTATTTTTTTAATTAAAAAAAAAAACCCAGAATCACAAAGTATAATTTTAGTAAAACCTTTTTTTTTAACCACTTAAATGTATGAGTATTTTTCCATTCATTAGTTATTTTGTGAAAACATAATTTGTAATGGTTTATGTCAACATTTCATTCTTACCCGAAATTCTGTGGTAAAGTCAACATTTCTCCCAACATTAAAATTTCTGCACCATTTACAGTTGAAGGATCATCTCTCATGAGTTGGTTAAAGAGATCTCCTATAGAAAGAGAAAAACATAAATTCTAACATCTATATTGTAAATAAGTTTTACCTCCATAAAGAAACAGCTGAGAGAAATACTTAAAAAAAAAGAATCTTAACAAAAATTATATTACAAATATCTAATTTATAATCTTCACTACAACAAATGCATGCCAAAAAATTCTATTTTCATGGAGAATGAACACTTCAGAAACAAAGGAAAAAGAAGGTCATCAGATACAAAATATATTATAGAGAGCTCCAATAATTTTAAATAACGGGAATGGCTAACACACATGTTGATGGAACATGTGAGGATAAATAAAATTTTAATATCATGACTATGAATGTACCCTTACTAAAATTAAAAGTTTCTTGTTGCCATGGGAAATCAACAGTATCTTGACTTAGAGATTATGAGTAAGACCTACTACACTTAAGACGGCCACCACTTACATCATACAAAAAGAGACAACAAAGAATGCAGCAAAAAGTTAGTATAAGACTGGCAAGACTATGCTTATTCCAAGGTAATATAGGCAATCCAGGTTTCAACTTTTCCCTAGGTGCAAGCTGAACAAAGCATACCAGGTAAGTCTTTTTCTTCACATGTTACTGGAATATTGGTGAATAAAGTAGGCTTAGTTAACCGCATCACTGTGAATTAAGAAAAAAAAAAGAAAATATTAATATTGCTTTGGGCTAGCATTCCAAGTTGAGTGTATGATACCCATCAATTCTATACTAAAATCAAATATAACCTAAAGCTTCCTAAACATAATAGTAAGTATTCCCAAAATCACACACCAATGATTTACTAAAAATGTTAATTTACAACAGAAAATCTCCATATGATTTATTTAAAACCTAATATATTATAAAAATTAAATGTAAATGTAGAATATCACATTATAGAAAAGCTGAAAAATAAAGGAATTTTAAAGCTTATGTTATATGAGAATAGGCTTTAAGAAAAATCCTGAGTGACTATGAACAATATCAAGAAGATATCTTCCTGAAAGGGAAAAATGTTTTGATTCACCATCTTGAATATGAGACAGTAATTTTACAAAAAAAACGAATCTTTATGAGCTTCATCTCTCGGTTCTAATCACTGGCCACTGGAAGTTCAGTAAGTGGACCTTTAAGTAGTATTAATTCTGTATAGAAATTACAAAAGTATCACTTAATGTATAGCTTTGTAAAATTCCAACCAAAACTAAGATTTGTTCTTGGGACATGACAGAATGTGTCTGAAATTTAGAAAAACAAGTAAAAATAAGCTAAGGAAATTAATGGGAAAAAATGAGGAAGAAATGGATTCACCATATATTACAAGATTTAAGTCTATAATCAACTAATTGGCTTATTAATGCAAGACCACACAGATACATTAGATAATTAAAAAAAAGATTAGGATGCAGAAAAAAAAATAACATGATAAAGTGCTAGCACACTGGTTAGCTATCTGGGAAAAATAAAAAATTTAATTTACAAATTCAATTCAAGCATCAAATAAATTGCCTATGTATCAGATAGTTAAGAGGCAAAAATTAAGCCACAAAAAACTTTAAAAAGTGAAAATTTATGAAACCTAGTCAAGTAAGGTTAGGACTTTCTAACTAAAAAAAAAATCTTTTTCAATTATTTCTAAAGACTGACCTTTGATCACATCAAAATAAAGACAAAAATATAACATTAAAAATCATATAAACTTGTGAAATATTTCTGGAAATTAATTATAGACTATTTCTTTATACTCTATTAAAAATGTTCATTCAAATCAAACCCCAAAAGCTTTTTTTTAAAGATTTTATTTATTTGAGAGAGAAAGAATGAGAGACAGAGAGCATGACAGGGAGGAGGATCAGAGGGAGAAGCAGACTCCCTGCTGAGCAGGGAGCCCGATGCGGGACCCGATCCCGGGACTCCAGGATCATGACCTGAGCTGAAGGCAGTCGCTTAACCAACTGAGCCACCCAGGAGCCCAAACCTAAAAACCTTTAAAGACTATTGACCTAAATGGTCAATTCACAATATAAGTGGTATCATTAGCATATGTAAATATGCTAATATTTTAGCATATTTACAGTTAGGTGTACAACCTAACTATTAACTAGCTATATCATTCACACCAAATTTAGTGCCCTTCTCAACCTGGTCTCAGGCTAAATGTCATCTTTTCCAAAAAAGAAGTAACAGCTCACCTTGTCCCTCTCATAGTCCCTTGTATTTGTCATGAACTGATATATGTACTTATTTACAGCACTCTGATCCACGCTCCATGAGGTTGAGGCTCTTACGTACTATATTCAGTTTTCTGGCTTTGTTGCTTGACATAGTTTCTGACACATAGTATATTCTATAAATCTTTGCTGAATGAATTAGCACCTCACCCAAATCCTCATTAACTGGTATTATTTTGAAGATGTTAAGTTTTATGAACTGAGGCCATTAAACAATGTTATATTAAATCGATGGCTGTTGAGGGGTGCCTGGCTGGCTCTTGGTCTCGGAGTCCTAAGTTCAAGCCCTACGCTGGGCACAGAGCTTACTTAATAAAATAAAATAAAATAAAAACAGATAATATAAATATAAATAGATGGCTACTGAAACAGGCAACAAATGTTAACCTTAAAATTTCTCAAGTCACTTGCATAACTGATATATACTGAGCATTTACTAGTGCTAGAGAACATGCTAAATACTTCACAACTACCAACATATTAAATTCTCATGACTACAAATTTGGTACCATTATCTACCTTTTATACATAAGGATGATGCTTGGAGAAGGTAATCTGCATATAAAAGACTATAGCAGATAGGTGGCAGAATTAGATCTGAATTCAGATAAATTCACTTTGTTCAAAAATAAATCTATTATTCATTATAAGACTGGAGTCAAGGCCTGGAATGTCATGCCTTATCAGAAACATCCTATGGGAATTCAAAATAGGACTCCATGTCAGGCAGAGTATTAACCAATTAACCAGGTCATTGACGAGGCACTGGAAGTGGTTGAGGGAGGTTTTCTAACTTTCTACTTCACTCATTTCTAACTAGGAAAGCAGATTAAAATTAAGCACAATCTGAAGGGGATAATAAAGGGCTCTAGAAATGATAAAGAAGAGACAGTTTTTTTTTTTCACAATCTAAATATCTAAGACTCTAAGCTCACTTTTTTTTTCTTTTTCAATTTGAGAGAGAGAGATATCGAGAGACAGAGATAGCAAGAGAGAGCACGAGCGGGGAGAAGAGGGAGAAGCAGGCTCCCCACTGAGCAGGGAGCCTGTCTGGGGGTGAGGGGGGGGCTTGATCCCAGGACCCTGGGATCATGACCTGAGCTGAAGGCAGACGCTTAACCAACTGAGCCACCCAGGTGCCCCTCTAAGCTCACTTTTAACACCAAGTGGTGTCCTCTATTCCCCATTTATTTTTCATTTCAGAAGAAACCTTATCTTTTTTTTTTTTTTAAGATTTATTTGAGAGAGAGAGTACATGAGAGGGGAGAGGGTCAGAGGGAGAAGCAGGCTCCCCACCGAGCAGGGAGCCCGATGCAGGACTCGATCCTGGGACTCCGGGATCATGACCTGAGTCGAAGGCAGTCGCTTAACTGACTGAGCCACCCAGGCGCCCGAAACCTTATCTTTTTAAAAAAGATTTTATTTATTTATTTGACACAGAGAGAGACAGAAAGAGCACACAAGCAGGGGGTAGCGGCAGAGGGAGAGGGAGAAGCAGACTCCCAGCTGGGCGGGGAGCCTGATGCGGGCTCAATCCCAGACCCCGGGATCATGACCTGAGCTGAAGGCAGATGCTTAACTGACTGAGCCACCCAGGCGCCCCCAGAAGAAACCTAATCTTGATAAAAATACACTCTTCAAGGGAATCCTAAAACACTCTTTTTAAAAAAGTGTCCTTGAAAATACCATGTGATTTCACTCATATGTGGAATTTAAGAAACAAACCAGCAAAAGGAAAAAAAAGAGAGACAAACCAAGAAATGGACCCTTAGCTATAGAGAACTAATGGTTACCAGAGCAGAGGTGGTGGGGAATGGGTTAAACAGGTGAAAAGGATTAAGGAGTGCACTTGTATTGAGCACCAGGTGTTGTATGGAAGTGCTGAATCACGCTTTTCTACACCTGAAACTAATATTAAATGTATGCTAACTGGAAATTAAATAAAAACTTAAAAAAAACAAAGTGTTTTTGAGTTCACCCAAATGTGTAGCCAACTTATTTGCTTATTATATGCTCAAACTTCCATTGTGTACAAAAGTCTTATAAAACTTAGTTTTACTGATTCTATGATTTTCTAGGGGATGAGATAATAGAGGGTGGGTAAAGAATAACCCTCCATTAAAAATAAAAACTTCCCAAACTGGTATTAAAAATACCTGTTTCCATCATATTTTCAAAGAGGGAAAAATTAGTGGGGGGAGACTGCAGTTGGTAAGAAATACTATCATCCTATGGACTCAAAGAAAACTACTATAAAGCACAGTTCATCATACTGCAGATTCTTAAACACAAACTGAGAAAGCCCAGTTAGTAATGTAAAAGTATCTCATATTAAAACTCATTGTGATATATATATATATATATATATATATACACACACACACGCACATACACACAACGTGGTATATGTGATATATATATATACACATACAATGTGGTATATGTGGTGTGTATATGTACACATACACACACACACACACACACACAATGGAATATTATGCAGCCATCAAAAAAATGAAATCTTGCCATTTGCAATGACATGTATAGAACTTTAGGGTATTATGCTAAGTGAAATAAGTCATTCAGAGAAAGACAACTGTCATATGATCTCACTGATATGTGGAATTTGAGAAACAAGGAAGAGGATCATAGGGGAAAAGAGGAAAAAATTGAAACAAGACAAAAACCAAAGAGGGAGACAAACCATAAGAGACTCTTAATCTCAGGAAACAAACTGAGGGTTGCTGGAGTGGAAGGGGGTGGGAGGGATGGGGTGGCTGGGTGATGGACATTGAGGAGAGTATTGTTGCAGTGAGCACTGTGTATTGTCTAAGACTGATGAATCACAGACCTGTACCCCTGAAACAAATAATATGTTAATTTAAAAAAGAGCATTGCTTTGCAAACTACAAACAAAACAAAACTCAATGTTTCCTGTCTTATAGCAAATTAATGGACCTCAAATATTACACATAATGTTAGTTGGAAAAGAGCAACTACCAACAAAAGCAAGGCTTAAGAAACCTGGCAGAGGAACTATAATAAAGCACTGGTTTTTTTTTTAAAGATTTATTTACTGGGCGCCTGGGTGGCTCAGATGGTTAAGCATCTGCCTTCGGCTCAGGACTCTGGGATCGAGTCCCGCATCGGGCTCCCTGCTCCTTGGGAGCCTGCTTCTCCTTCTGCCTCTCTCTCTGTCTCTCACGAATAAATAAATAAAATCTTTAAAAAAAATTTATTTACTTTATATATAGAGAGAATAGATGCACAAGGGCGGCGGGGCGCAGGGGAGAGGGAGAGAAGCAGACTCCCCAGTGAGCATGGAGCCTGAAGCAGGACTTGATCCCACAACCCAGAGATCATGACCTGAGCCGAAATCAAGAGTTGGAGGTTAGCTGACTGAGCCACCGAAGTGCCCCAATAAAGCACTGGTTATTAAATGATAATCTTATATTCAGGTTGAATGTTAAAAAAACAGGTTCTTTGTCAAAAATTAAAGAGGCAAAAAAGAATATGTGATTTTCTGCCAAGTGCCAAATCAAATATTCACTACACACAGCAAATAGTGTCACGTGTAGTGCCATTTTAATTGGAACTCACAAAACACATTTATGAAATTCAGGTTCCACCTATTATCTTATAAAAAAAAACTTTTATAAGTCTTCAATAATTTATGAAAGAGATAGGCCTGAGGTTTACAAACTAATGACCTGGGCCAAGTTCAATTTGTGTATACATTTTGCTTGAAAAGAACATAAAAAAATTAAAGGAGAATCTTCTTCCAAGTTCAAAGTCCTTAACTACGTTCTAGTCTTGCCTGTCTAGTCCCTGAATGATTTCAAGTTTGTGAACTGTGAATCCTGGGCATTTTGAGCAAATTCTATCAAAGTGATCATTGTGCAGGAGCTCATTTTGAAATTCACAAAAAATAGTCTTTAAGCTATTTGATAAATTGGTAAAGAAAGTTAAATTCATATGATACCCTCCACATATTTTTTTTGGTTGAATTTAACATTTATCTGATGGTAGAGAGGTTGTCAGGGAAAAATAAAGTTATGGTATCGCTGCCACTTTCCTAGAGAGTAAAATGCCATCGGTATTTTATCAAATGGTCTTACAGATCCACCTTTCTGTACGCATTCCTGTGTCCCCAATTTACTTCCACATCTATGACTTAACAGTGGAAATGAGAAATGAGAAATATTGCTGGGCCCTACTATTAGCTTGTGCTAGAATCATCAGTCCTAAGGTTCTAAATACTCCAAAAAAGCTTCAGAGTAGCAGTGGATTCTAAATTCTTAGGCCTTGATTACTTAAGTATTGTCTAGATAGATGAGAAATGATCTCTCCTCCTTTTGAAATCATTGCACTATTTGTAGTAAAACTCAATCTTGAGTTTTCCAGGTCTGAATTACCCTTTCACTGCTTCTGAAAGAGGCAGAAAGCAATCAATACAAATGAGAAAACTTTAAATCTGCCACATGTGAAGACAAAGCTCTTTTTAATAAAGTGTGATTCTTGGCTAAAATGAACAACTCAGGAAACGACAGATGTTGGCGAGGATGCAAACGAAGGGAAACTTTCTTATACTGTTGGTGGGAATGCAAACTGGTGTAGCCACTCTGGAAAACAGTATGGAGGTTCCTCAAAAAAGTTAAAAATAGAGCCACCCTACGACCCAGCAATAGTACTACTAGGTATTATTCAAAGGATACGCAGATAGTGATTCGGAGGGGCACCTGCACCCCAATGTTTATAGCAGCAATGTCCACGATAGCCAAACTATGGGAAGAGCCCAGATAGTCACTGACAGATGATTGGATACAGAAGATGTGGTATACAAATAAAATGGAATTATTAATCAGCCATCAAAATGAATGAAATTTTGCCATTTGCAACGAAGTGGATGGAAGCAAAGTAAGCCAGAGAAAGACAAACACCATATCATTTCACTCATATGTGGAACTTAAGAAACAAAACAGATGAACATAGGGGAAGGGAAGGAAAAATAAACTGAAAATGAGAGGGAGGCAGACTGTAAGAGATGCTGAACTCAAGGATACAAACTGAGGGTTGCTGAAGGGAAGGTGAATGGGGGGAAGGGCTAATTGGGTGATGGGCATTAAGGAGGGCACTTGACATAATGAGCTGCATGTTACATGCAACTGACGAATCAGTAAATTCTACCCCAGTAACTAATAATACAGTGTATGTTAACTAAATTGAATTTAAATAAAGAATTAAAGTATGGTTCTTGGATTAAAAAACTGCTCATAACAAGCTTTATTGTAAAATCACTTTGGGTATTTTCATGAGGAGATGTGTAAACCCAATTTATAACATTCTGCTTATGGGAAACTTACAATAACTCTAGGAACCAGTCAACTAGCAATCAGCATTAACCATCATAAAGATTGAACTACTTGTAGTAGATTAAATAAATAACGATCTCTTATCCACATTTGATACTTCTCTTCAAAATAAGTTATATCCTTAAAGATACATTATGGTTTAGGCAAATTATACATTTTGTACTTTTGTTTCAAAATTCCACATCAAATAGTCAGTTACAGATTTTTGGAAACATTGGTAGAATCTGGGCTAGTTTCCCAATTTGAACTATGTTCATGCTACTTGAATAGCATTTGCTATGAACTGGTTTTATTTATTTTAAAAAAATCATTACACTTTAGAAGAGTAAAGGAAAAACACTATAAAATTACATTTTGGGGCTTTACCAAAATCCAAACTATTCACTGTAATTCATTGTAATATCTAATTCAACCACTGGAAAAGTAACAGAACAAAAGGGATAGAACATTTTATCTCTAAACTCAATATAAATAACAACTTAGCACAATTCATTTAGAAGATTACTAAAAGTATAACCCAGAAAGCTCTTGAGTTAATAGAGATGTCTAGGAACTCAACTGATGGCCATTTATTTCTGGAAAACAAACGTATACAAGTTACCACACAATTTTTTTTTTTTTTTTACCATATTAAGAATGAATAGGCTATCTTAGTGAGAGGTCAAATTAAAAAGTTAAAAAGTTAAAATCCCATAAAAATTGATTGATCTCATTATTTCAGATCATACTCAGTTCATTCAGAATATTCTCTTGAACAATCAGTGAAATTCATTACATACTAAAAATAACACCATATTTATGCACAAATAAATTCATTTTCCCAGCAAGAGCTAACCTTCCTTTAAGAAGACTTCCCACATATTCACAGTACATAATATCACAGAACACCCAAATTTGGCCTAAGTGTCTCTGAAATGTAGCATTACAAGATGGAAGTTCATTGTGCCTGATGATTTGATTGAGTTTTGCCCAAATGTCTTCCAGAGTTTGGTTGTTACAAATAGCATGCTCTATAGTCCATCTTGCTCTATAAAGTGAATGCAAATTCAGTGCCTTTAAACTATCTTGCAATTTTTTAGACAAAGGAAAAATATTTTCAGTACAATTACTGTTGGGAAGTGAAACACTCCAAAACCTCTTCTTGTGCTGTCTTCCCTTTTCTGAATGTTTATCTAGAGTTCCAGAATTAGTCTGCTCATTCAGTGAGTGTGACCGGATTAAGTGCTTCCTGTTTTTTAAATTAGGTTGAAATTCCAAAAGATCTACTGTGCAATCATAACTCTGTGATTTAACATCACGTTCTGAAATGGTTAAGTACGGTTTCACATCTTCAGCTGCCTCTTCAGAAATCACAGGTGGTGATCTTTTAGGTTTGAGTGGAAGTTTGGACCCATCATGCAAACACCAAGGAATAAATCTCGATAGCGGACGTGTAGGAAAGTCTTGGATTGCTTTCTCTGCAATTTTTGGCAGTTGTGTGGGATCATTCTCATATGGTCGATAATGTAATATTACTTCTGTAGTCATTCTGCAGTAATCCAGTTACTCTTAATGAAGAAAACATTTCTTAGATGCGCTCCTCAGCGCTAGAATGTAATTTTTAATTATAAGACTCTCTTTCCAAATCAGAGGAAAACAGGACCTAAAGTGGAAGTATTGCAAAGAGTAAGATATGGTAGGGATAGCCTACACACAAATAGGGAAAAAGAAAAAACAAAACCAATCCCAATATGATATTTTACCAAGTGCTATTGGTAAATGTGAATGTAATCCACAAAACCGGAAATGTTTTATCTCACCAAAATAAGGGATCTGATTAGATGCCTTATAAGATCACTTCCAGCCTAAAACTGCTAGGAGTCAACAAGTCTAACTCAACAGATATAAAGGATTTGGAACTATCGTTACTAATATATTAGGTGAATAACATTAAGACTATAGCAGAAACAAAGGGTAAGTTAGTGATTCTTAGAATAGGAGATTCATTTGAAGATACCAAAAATGTAGTAATACTTAAAAATTTGAGACTCTGAATTGAGGACAATGAAAATCATTGTAATTTTTAATGCCTTGAGAAAAATAATTTTATACTTTAAAATTATATGAATTCTACCAAATATATAGACAGAGTACTTAATGATTTTATTTCATTCGCAGTAGTAAACACTAGTAACATGAAAATAGTTTAACTCTGATTTTAAACAGGCTAGGAATGGGTTTGTGACGAAGTCTCCTTTGTATAAATGGGGGACTTTCACAGTATCAAGACGTTAGTACCATGACTCCTGAATTCCATTTTGGAGGAGGACCAAGAAGGCTAGACCTTCCCTATTTTTTTTTTCCTCTTAGAACAAAGAAGTCTTCAAGTTGCCCCAAATGAAGTCATTGGTAATAAGTTCCAGCATATAGTTAGGCTTCCTAACCAAGTCCAAAGCTGCATGAGCCATAATGCAGACTCTTTCAAATCCTAAATACTGTAGAAAAAAAAAAGAGGTTGTATCTCTTCTCCCCCAAATCATTACAGAACTTTTTAAAGGGGTTCTCCCATTGCCAGAATGACCATGGATGGGGACCCCTGTCATGATGTCACAATACTCATTTGACCACTGATTCTGAAGAGTCAGAAGTAATTAATCTCATAATGATTCTTTTCACCTACTGTTAATGTCCATTAACAGATTTGACAACTTAAATTCATAAATAACTGTGATCCTTAACATCCATAATTTTAATATGAATCTAAACATAGAGAGCCTATTCTTAAAAGCATTAATAATGCTTTTATTTTTTCTTTCCTCTTCCTTATACTTTCACATTGTAAGATATGGCACTGAGAATTCTTTCATTTTTTGAACTTAGTCAATGTCATACTCTGAGGATGATGAAGTTCTGAGAGCTCCTTAATATTTTACATAGATAAGAAAGTAAACTTAAATTATCACATAAATTGATATACTTGGCATCCAACAATCAATAAAATTAAAATCTGTGAAAAGTTTTTTAATAAATTATTTTTTTTTTAAGAAATCCCTACATCCAATGTGAGGCTTGAACTCACCACCCCGAGATCAAGAGTCACATGCTCCACAGACTGAGCCAGGCAGGTGCCCCAAAGCTTGTGAAAATTCTTGATTAACAAGGGAGAACAATGGTACCAAAGAGCTTTAATAAAACTCAAATTATTCATGAATTTCAAAGGACTCATCCTTTTAGGCCGCTAAAATCGTCTCCCAGGTTATCTTCTATTTCAGAAAATAAAAATAGAAAACTAAAAATACCCAATGGCAATTAGCTTCCACATCACTGGAATATAACTGTGTTTAATAGCTTCCAGCTTGCATAAAATCATACCTAGGAGCTAACAGAACTGTTCCAAATTCCCATCAAAATAATTGATGAAGGAATGTTCTCTGAAAATGCTGTTTCCTTCATTAGGAGGCAATAAGGAGTCTTGGAAAGATGGAGGAAGGCCTTGTTGAAATACTGCCTCCAATCACTTACTAGCTTTGTGACCCTGAAAAAGTTTCTTAAATTTCTGATAGATATTAAGTAAAATCTATTCCACATACTTGATGTAAGATTAAGAAAAAACATGACAAGTTACTTTTCCTTTTTTTCCAGAAGAACCCATTTTAGTCTAGCTCATTTGCTCAGGCTAAGCTTACAGGTCCTGTTGCTGTATTACTTAATATTGTTTTTTAGTTCTATGATCAGAGACAACCCTATTAAATTCAGCTATCAGTATATGATTTTATGTTACAGATGGGACTGGTAAGCTTCTAGAATGTGTGATGCCTACATCATAACTGGGGAGGGGATAAGGGTCCCTCAAAATGGATGTCACGAGGAACGTTAAGTGCAGTGTAACTGAATTCAAATGCCTCTTGAGCCTTTTCTCAGCTCAGTCCAAGAAGTTACTGGTAACCACACAGTACAGCATCCAAGAAAGAAGAAGCGCGTTCGTGGAAGTAGAAAACAGATGAAATAAAGCTGAAAGCATTTTAAATAAAAGGTTTTCAGAAAACAGTAAGAATTCCAGAAAAACTCTGCCCTGTTGGTTTTCCCCAAATAATGATACAATTAAATCATTAAACTTATTAAAAATTTTTGCTATGTGCAGAAAATGAAAGTTGGCATTAATTTTCCCATATCCACAACACTTTGAAGTAAACTGAAATTTTAACAAATCTAAATTATAGGTTGTTGTACTATTTATTTCTAAATCCTTGGCACTGCTTACTGCAATACTAGACTAACTTTACAGATGAAGCTGAAGCCTAGTAACTTTATCAGTGCCACATGAAGGCACAATAGACAAGGAGAAATCACTGTAGATGCCTATCGTAAATCATCTTGGTTCACTGGGCTCTCCCCGGGTAAGGTAGGGACCTTAGCTTCTGCGGTTAAAACCAGTCTGGTAACTGAAGCATATCACACAATGAGTGATTTGCCAGGTATCTATTCCATTCTAGAGGGAGGCTGTCAAACCTAAAAAGCAAAGAGAAGAAATTGCTTCCTTCCACTCGGCGCCAAAGGACAGAGCAGGAGGGCAGGCACTAACAGTGTTTAAGAAAAACGAGGCCTACATCCCAGGGACCAGATCTAAGTGGCAAAGGCTTCGAGAATTAGTGAGAGAAGAGGAGAAAACAGACTAAAGGGATTCAGGTTCATAAAAGTTTACCTTTCAGGGCCAGCAGGTGCTCCTGTTTGGGGGGATTCACTTCCATTTTGATCGGCACTTTCGACCCACTGCTTACGGCAGCTGAAGAGGTTCAATGCAGCCCGGAAGAAAACAGAAAAGCGGACGTTCGGGAAGATCAAATCACTCCCAACAGGCTTTCTGCGCTGGTGATGCCGTAAATTCTCTTCTTAGCACGTCCTTTACGGACTCAAGGGCTTCTTTTCACCAAAGCCATCTCTTGCTTCTTAGAGACCTACACATAACATACTTCCCTATTTTCAAGCCACAGTCACACAGCATGACTTCAAGAAACCACTCCTCGGTGACAATACGTAGCTTCCCAAATCCGTACAACGCGGAGTAAAAGAAACGGATTTTGCATGCTGGGATTTGTAGTTTAAAGAAAACCGCATTGTATGCAGGGAGATGTAGTCCCCCTTTGCTCCCACGTCTATTCGGCAATTAGGAAGAGATCGTTACTGAAGCGGGAGTTTCACCCCGCAAATTTACTTCTTGCTTTAGCCCTTCTTTTTTCCTTTAATTTTATGCCTGCCCTCAGTTACAGACTCCTGGATAATACCAATATAAATAGCAAAGAACTCATATAAACAAGGCTGTGCAACTAAAGAGCTAGTGACTGGCAGGAGGAGGAGCCCAGAGGTCAACCCAGCGGCGCTCCGCGTCTTAATGCGCCTGTGCGCCGGCGGCGAACGCCGAGGCCTCTGGGTAGGTGGCTCGACCCCGCCCCTCAGCTGAAGGCCGTGACGGCTGCTTCTGCGGCACCGCTCCTCGTAGGATGGCTACCCTGATTGTAAACAAGCCTGGAGCGGGACTAGACAGTGGCCGTCAGGGCAGCCGAGGGACGGCCGTGGTGAAGGTGAGGGACATTGCGTGATCTGTTCTCCACCATCGGCCTCCCTTCGGTTCATCCCTGAGGTCCGGAGGCCGCGCCCCGGCCGTCTTTGGGCCTTTGCGCCCCTCTAGGCTTTACAAGCCATGCCGTCCCCTCCGCGATTTTTATCTCTTCGGGCTTGGAGTTGCTTGGTCTTCCGCTCATACCAGTCCTCTACTTGGCCGATGGGGACATTTGTGAAAAGAGCTTTTTGGGCCTGTGAGACTGACTTTGACCGGTCTTTGCCTAGGTCCTCTCCTTTTTGTTAAGCTTAACAGGCATTAGTTTATTTTTATTAAATTGAGCCATTGTTATCGCCAGGTATTATGTTAAGTATTTTACTTCGTTGATATCTACTTATGAGGTATATGATAATTACCATTTGATAGGTGAAGAAACTCAGGTTTACGTTAACACAGTATGTCATGGATCCAGGGTTGACTGCCTTCTAAAATCTGGTTTTCAATACTGCACTACTTCTATAACCAGACATGTAGTAATGGTTGATCTGCCCACTCCTCTTTTATTAGTATAGTCTGTCAACACTTTTGAGAAGTGTCCCTGCAGCAGCATGGCTGAACATTAACGTTAGGATATACGAATTGCCCTGTGCTTCAGGTTTGAAATTCTACCATGCATAAATGCTTCAAAATGTATTTACTAACAAATCAATTGAAATATGTGGGATTCACATTTCCCTTTCACTATAAACATATGAAAGATCTGCAAGGGAGAACTGATCTCATCGGTTTGTAGAATAACTTTCAGGATTGTTGTAATCTGAGTTACGGGTAATTCTCATTACTGGCTACATATTTAGAACAACTGAGGACTTAAAAGAAAAAAAAAAACCCTACTGATACGTTCCTTCTCCCCAAGTTCTGATTAACTTGACATCACTGTATTTTTTAAACATTCCCAGAAGTGATTTTAATGTGCAACCGAGGTTGAGAACCACTATACCCAATAATATCTGAAGTTATTTTAAGATCTTGGGTAATAGGCACCTATGATTTTTCACTTAATGTTGGTTTTATATGAAACGAATGGTACATTTCTGCTCACAGGTATATTATCAATTATTGATGGCTTTTGATTCATCTGGCCTTTTTATATTGAAGTTATTCTGAAGGTACACAGCATATCTGAGATACAGAGGAGCCCTGTTACTAGGCATGTTACATGGTTGAGATTTTATTTATTAAATTGTGCTTTACCTAAGTAGAGAATACCTAAATATTATTTTGTGATTTAGATTGAATCAAGAAGTTGTAATTAGAATGGATATTATTGCTGTATCTACTTTTGTTATCCTAGTTGTCTTAAAATCTCAAAAAATACACAAAAGCCTTATATTACTCAAATTTGTTACAGCAGAGTTTGATATGTTAGAGGTTCAGTTTGTTTTTATCTTCACATGTAAAATGTGCCTGAGTTGTGCAGTGGGGTAGTCCTTTTTGGCAAGATCCTTATGCCATAATTTGTAAGGAGGATGGTGGCATAAATTAAAAAAAAAACTCATTGTCATTTTCATAGATGAAAGCAGAAATTATTCATTGGAAGGTGAAAGTTGAAGTATATAATGCTAAAAGGTAAAATAATGAACAAGTTGATAATGAGGGTTTTTTCATTAGAAAACTCAAAGACAAAAATCTGATATTATGAAATTATTTACATTCAAAAAAGTCAGAAAGGGACATGTGGGTGGCTCAGTTGGTTAAGCATCTGCCTTTGGCTCAGGTCATGATCCCAGAGTCCTGGGATGGAGCCCTGCATCGGGCTCTCTGCTCACTGGGGAGCCTGCTTCTCCCTCTCCCTCTGCCTGCCGCTCCCCCTACTTGTGCGTGAGCTCTCTCTCTCTCTCTCTCTCTCTCTCTGACTAATAAATAAAATCTTAAAAAAAAGAGAGAAAAAAAAGAATCAGGAAAGTTTCTTTTGAAGAGTGAGTCTTCTTAGTCCATTTAAAATATGGTCTGGTTAGGGTGCCTGGCTGTCTCTGTTGGAGGAATGTGCTACTCTTGATTTCAGGGTCGTGAGTTTGAGCCCGATGTTGGGGGTAGAGATTACTAAAAAAAAAAAAATTAACTTAAACTAAATATGGTCTGGTTTATTAAAATTTGGTCTACATGTAATAAGTTTGAAGCTCTCTTTGGCATATTTGTGAAGTTGATAAAATTAAGAGCTTTTTTTCTTATTTAGGATTTAATTCCTTGTGCTGTTAGCCACAGTTCATGTTCATAAATACTGAAGAAAGAATTTCTTACTCTTTTGTTTACTGAGTTGATACAAAATAGTCTAGTAAGTTTATTTTTGGACCCGTGTTTAGTTTATAAATCTGTGGTATGTTATTAGTGCTTTTTGAAAAAACCTGTATTGGCAACTTAAGTTCTTTTATCTTGTGTAATTATGGGGTCAGAGGTAAAAGATATAAGTGGACTGAAATTTAATTTGATTGTTTGGAGTTTATGGTCATAATTATGGTGTTACAGAAATGAGGACATTATAAAAATGTTGCATTTATTTTATATCTAATTCTCTTATATCTTTTCTGTATTGAATGAATTTGATATTTAAGTGAGACCATTTAAATGAAACTTCTGTCCTGCCTTTTTTAAAAATGTAGGATACATTTAAGTGTGTATAATACACTTTATGTGTAACTTTTCCCATCTATTTTCCTTCCTTATAGGGAGCCACTATGCCAGTGTAATCAGTTTCCTGTGTATCCTGCTAGAAAGATAGTATGCCTGCATAAAAATATACATATAAATGTATGTTCTCTTTCTCCAGTTTTATGCAAAAGCTAAATATTCTATATATTTTTCACTTTGCTTTATTCATATGAAATCATTCTGTGTGTATACATAAGAAACTTCCTTTTTCTCAACAAACCACATGGTTTTGCCTTATATGAATATACTATAGTTTATTTTCCAGTCTGTATTGCTATCTGTTTATTTTGTTTCCAATCATTTGCAAGTGCAAATGGTGCTGTAAGGAATAACATAGAGATCTTGACACACATGTGTGATATATTTGTCAGATAAATTCCTGGAAATAGAATTACTAAGCTATGTAAACTTTTGATAGGTATTGCCAAATTGCCTTTCATAAAGCCTATATTAGTCATTAAATATTTCACAGCAGGCAGAAGTATATCTGTTTTCCCACATCTTCACCAACACAAAGGGTTACACAAGGGTTATCAACCTGTTTGATCTAATCTGAAAAAAGTATATTGGTTTAGGTTTAAGTGCATTTCAAAGTGTTTTGAGTGAGATTGAACATTTTTTCAGATACTTAAAGAGCTGTTTTTATGTCTTTTCTTGTGAGTTGTGTGTTACATTTAAGCCTCTTTTGAACCATACTGGGATGCAAGTCAATTATGAATTATCAATTTACAGTGAAAGATGTTTGTATTTCATGCACTAAGTCCAAATTAATTACAGAGTTAGTATTAAATTTTTAATGGATTAAATCTGATTTCCACTGTGGATTTTCTGCTTTTTACCTTGCATTGTGAATTTGTTGGGGGATGGTGGTTGGGCTGAACTGTTTTTATTTTTATTTTTTATTTTTTTTAAAATTTTATTTATTTGGCAGAGAGAGAGACAGCGAGAGAGGGAGCACAAGCAGGGGGAGTGGGAGAGGGAGAAGCAGGCTTCCCGCCAAGCAGGGAGCCCGATGTGGGGCTCGATCCCAGGGACCCTGGGATCATGACCTGAGCCGAAGGCAGACGCTTAATGACTGAACCACCCAGGCGCCCTGAGCTGTTTTTAATTTTTAATCTTGTCAGACTTTATTTATATAAGCACACTACTACTGGGTTGTTTGTAATGCCCTTTTTCTGAAGGCTTTTTGATTTAAGAGGGAAAGACAGGCTGGAAGCCAATAATGGAATTAACATGTTTAGGGTGTTAAGATGAACACTTATCCAAGCATAATGGCCCAAAGGGTGGTGTGGTCATTTCAGTTGGAATGAGCTGTGGGTACACTGGGAGATACGGTTGTTTAGAAATTTGTTTATTAATGTTAAAAAAACAATCTACTGGGAAAATGTCTGTTTAGCTATTTCCTCAGCATTAGCATAAAAAAGAGGCAACAAACCGTTTGTCATGTTCTGGGAACTACAAATTGTTTGATACAGTTTGAGAATAGAGTCTGAAGGTGGTGGCAGGGAAGCAGTGGGATGCAGGCCAGATTGTAGCAGGTCATG